TTTTATTTGTTTTCTTCCTGATTGTACATGTTTCAACCAACAGTAAAAGGAAACAAAAATGTTTGTTCTGCTTCAGTGGAGAAATGCTTTTTGTTTTTTGTTTTTTTTTGTTTTTTAATAAATTAATTTAACGTCCTTTTTTCCCCCTTATCTTTTGCTTCCGTGGTGAATCTTTATAGTGTGTGTGGTTTCAGTAAATGGTAAAGTGTGGTTATAGGTCCACTCCTCCACCAGGGGGCAGCATTGGAACATCCTTAAATATGTCAGCTGGTGAGAAAAGCATGTTTATCATGTTCTCTAACATATTAGTGCTCAGTTGGTGACCTCATAAGTCTTGAGCCACTCCTCCTTTTTTGTTGTTTTTATGTTAAGGAAACGGGGAAATAGGTTCTAACATCCATTGAAAAACAATATAAGACAAAAATCAAGATGTTCATTTGACCAAATTAATTCTTCACAGCACCACAACTCTTTCAGACAGCTTCCTTGTAATTTAAGTACTCATAAGGCTCTCCAGGCTTCACTGACATTCAGGCTCTTTGGATGTCGGCTGCCTTTTGTTCCATTCTAAGGATGATCCCACACTTTCAGTAATGGAGGTCCAGGCTCTGGAAGCCAATCAATGACTGATGGTGTTCCTCTATGCTTTTGTTTTTCCTTTTTTCTATCCAAGTATACTTTCACTGAATTTTCGGTGGGTTTGGGGTCATTGGGGAAGCTCGATTTTTAAGCCTAAAAATGTGGATGAAAGTCCGACAGATCTTCTGGGTTCATAATTCCATCAGTTTTGACAAATCTCCAACACCACTGACTGAAATATAGTCGCAAACCATGACAGAGCCTCCATGTTTTACAGACAGCTGTCAGGAGAGATACAACAAACACTGACTTCATCTCTCTAGACCTATCAATTCTTCTTCAGTCTTCCACTTGTCCTGTTTCCTCAGTTTTCTGTCTTTAAGGACGTGCTATACACAGATGTCAGAGTATGCTGGTTTTCTGTGGACTTCAGAAATCACTTTGTTGGTGAAAAATACTAGTTTTATGCCTATCAAACCCAAAAGGTTTGGGGGGGATGTTGACTTTTGTCTCAATCTCTTAGTCCTTGAATGATTCATAGATTACTGTTAACTGGCTTAACAGGACAACTGGACTGAAGATGAGTGAAAAGTAGCCGAAGAAAATCTTTGAAAGACCTTCAGAAAGCCTGAAGAACTATTACGGAAGACCACTCAAAACAAAAAAATTAAAAGAAATTAGACGTTAGACTTCATTCGAAAACTGTTCCTTGGAAGCAAAATCTACAGAAACGAAAAAATCCATCAGAAAACGTTGGTTCAGGTTACTTTATTTGGGAGTATTTGGTTTACAGTATGTGTCTGAGCCATCCTCACATGCACATTTTTCAAAGGAACAAACTGATAAGGTTAGTATAACAGCAGAAAACCGCTGATAAGAAACAGAAACCACAAAACTGAATGCATTGTGACACTAAATGAGGTTCTGAAGGGCCACTGTATTACAGAGAGCTAATAATATGAAGTCGGTCAGAAATTAATATGCTTCACATGTTTTAGCATGCAACCTTAACCTTATCAAAAAGTATTTGATATGGTTAAAGTTATTTAAACCACTCCAACTTTAATTATACAGTGCCCAGTCTGGACAGTGGTATCCTTAAAATGCTTCAATCATTAAAGACCAAGATGGTTCTTTCAGCAAACACATGGCAACAGTGGAGAGGAAGAACGTCCTTTTAACAACAGGAACAAACCCCCTGAACAGAACTATTCTCAAAGACTGCCAACTACTGAAGACTGAAGGGATAACTCCAACCAGGATTTAAAATCTGGGACTCTTCACCGTTTGGTCTTAGAACTGAAGAAGCTTCTCAGATGAAACGTCTTAAAGAAGTCCAGTCGCTTTTCTTTCCAAGCTCCTTAAAATACTGAAAACTGAAGATAAAAGTTACTGGCATGCACTCGGGACAAGGAGAATAACTAAAGGATGGTTCAGTGTAACCTGAACTCTAAGCTTTAATCGTGAAGGAAAGTTGGAGATGAACCAGGAAGTCCAAAGAAAAGTATTGTTGTTGTAGGATGGTGGATGCTGTAGCCTTTTCCAAGATATAGGAGCCCGGATGGTAAAAAGATCAACAAAATGTCAGGAGGGGGGGCGGGAAGATGAAATCATGTTGCACAACCAAACAAAAATCTTGTGACAATATTTTGTCTAAGTTTCTGTTGCCAAGGATAAAATTTTATAACATAATTTAGTGCAGCTGAGTCAACCTTTGGGTTAGTTTGCTTCCAAACGATATTAAAAACTAGGGACTCAGTACACCTGATGAACAATACGTGACGTTTCCAAGAACAAAGACCACATTTGATCCATCGCACACATGCTGTACGTGAATAAAAATTCCTGGTTTATTAGACTAAGAAGCAGCAGAGCTTATAAAACATCTGCTCGCTGATGGTTTGTTTCTGTGTCGATGTTGTTCTGACGCCCAGGCAGCGGCGAAACAATTATCCTGTCTG